CACGCTTCCACCGCATGAACTTGAGATGGTGAAGGAACTTGGCATGAACACCGCGCTGCATATCATGTCACGCAATCACGGCTTCAGCGAGGAGACAGTTCGCAAGGTGTACGCGCTCACGGGCTCGCTCGAAGTGGCCGACAACGTCCTGCGCGAGATGCGCGAGGGCGCTAACGAGAAGGCTAGCGAGGCGCTCACATCTCTCATGCCTGACGATGACGACGGTGAGGGGCAGGAAGAGCACGACTTACAAGCAGAAGGATTCGAGGGTCGTACGGGAGAGGAGGAGGAAGTCGAACGCGAGCTTACACAGTCGCAGGACTGGAACCCCAATGGAGCCAGCTTCGATCTCGCAGACGAACCACCTCTCGCGGAGAGCAGCCGCATGGATGCCTCTCACTATTCACGTCGAAGTTCGGGTCCTGACGCGCACAGGCGCCAGGAATTCCGTATCGAGCCATTGGTGGGCGACAACATCTCTAGCATCGACTCACAGTACTCTCCGCCAAAGCACACGCGAGCAGCCCAGTACGTCCGGCGTGCGCGGGACAGCATGGGACGGTCGCGTCGAGAGAGTGCAGCTCCGGAAGCGATGCTCCCGGAGGCGACAGCCAGTACATCTAACTCGAGAGGTGAGGAGAATGCCGACATCGGGTTCAGCAAGCTTGCGCGTCTCGATAAGTCGGGATGGCAGCGTCTGGAGGAGAAGCATGGGAAGGGCTTCGCAAAGGTCCTTGCTGGGAAGGCTCTTGCGAAGTTGCTTCAGCAATGACCTCCAACATCTGTATGTAATGTTATACTAGTATGTATGATGTGTACGACTGTCTATTCATGAGTGATGCGAGATGCGGAACTGCCGCATCATAACTACTAGACTTGGCTGCGGGGATGTATCAAGCCTCCCGCAGTGCTTTCAACAGCCTATATTGTTCCCTCTGCATATGCCCTCGATATCGAACTGTATATGAGACGCGCTCTGAGTTCCAATGACCTTGCGGTAAAACGAAGCAGCACTCGCCCAAAGGGAAAGAATGTGGTTGCTTAAGGTTTCCTGCTGCAGGACGAACGTGTCAAGGCTCCCAGCTACGTGATTCATTCTCGGAGAGTACTTTACAGTCATACCAGACTCAAGGTCACTGGTATTCTACTGTGAAGCTCTGGGTGAACGGAATCTTTAGAGTCACATCGAGAACGCCGTTTTCGGGATTGTAGGCGATAGCGGACTTGCTGACAGTCTTTCCATTGAACTCGACACTTAGCGGGGCGTTCTGAACGCCCAGGAACCGGACGCGTGCGACGTCCACGCCGACAGGGTGCCCGAAAGAACCCTTGACAGTGAGCTTCTGGTGCGCGAACGAGAACGACACGCTAGTGTGCGTCTGTGGGGTGATGGAGATGCCGTCATCGAAATAGAGCGAGCCCGACGCGGTCCCGTCAAGTGCGGGGGCAACGACAATCTCGAAGTCCGTCTTGCGCAGCTCCGTGGTCGTCATCGCGCCCTTCTCGCGCAAGGGCAGAACCGCGCCACCCTTGATCGCGACAGGGATTGAAGTGAGGTTGACGTTCGAGATCTCGACGACACCGCCGCCCTTGACGTACGTCCGGGAGAGGTCGTGGAAGTCGTAAAACGCCTCGTCCGGATAGTACGCGCTGACGCTCGTCGCGTTCTCCTCGAGCACGGGCGAGACGAGGATGGCGTCTCCGAAGAAGAACTGGGTGTCGATCCCGAACGTGTTGACGTCTTTGGGAAATTGGTACCAGAGCGGGTTCAGCACGGGCGTGCCGTCCGTGTGCGCCTGATGGAAGGCGGTATAGATATAGTCGAGCAAGCGGTACCTGACGTCGAGCGCGTTGCGCGCGGCCTGCGCGACGGTCGGCCAGCGATAAAACTCCTGGCTGATGGACGTGTCGGCGTTGTGCTGCATGCCCATCATTAGCGTGGAAGGGGATGTCAGGGACTGCGCAGCTTACGTTCCGCATGAAGGGGTAGAACGCTCCTAAGGAAGCCCAGCGAGCGCACAGAGTCTCGGTCGTATTCTCCGCTGGCACTCGCATTCAAGCTATGCAATTACAAGGCACACGCATGGAAGACGCACCATAGCCACAGATATCAGCGCCGACCATAGGAATATGGAACACGCTCGCCATGCCCAGGATACCAGAGATTGACTGGCGCAGGTGGTCCCACTGACTGAAGTTGTCGCCGAGCCACTTTCCGACCCGTGCTCCGGCACCTGCGAAAGTCGAGCGCGTAATGACGAGCGTGCGCTGTCCTGGGCGGCGGGCGAGCATCGCGTTGTGCGTCGCAGTTGACATCATCGTCCCGTACAGATTGTGAGTGTCATACTCTATGAGGCCGTTCGCATGGATGGCATCAGTCTGCATAGACGTTAGCACTATATCATTGATTGAGAAAGGCTTGTCGAAGACCCACATAGGCAGTCTTGTCTGATAGCGCTCCGGAGCCTGCGAAATTGTCGATATGGTAGGGCGGGTTTTGTACGTCGTCGTGGCTATGGTCGACGCGTTTCCGATGCGCCGAATTGCCGAAGATGGGAGTGTTGGGGTCCGGGGGCAGTGTCGTGCGTGCAGGAGGGAGATCTTGCTCCCTGGCTTGCTCGAAGGGATCCGTGCACGGATAGTTGCAGAACTGCGTGACGCAGCTTTGAGCTCAACACCGAGCACTGGCTACAGAGCAACTAGGCTCACGTACACTGGAGGGCTCATTCATGTCGATCCATGCGCCGTCTATGTCAATTCCAGTATCTGGATTATAGAACATTTTGAATTCGTTGGTCCAGTAGCTGCAACGGTCGTCGCATCAACATGGATAGATGTCTTGAAATATAACTGTACTCACTCTTGTGTCTTCGAATTGAACCAATCTACCGGTTGTGGCTGGTAAAGCAAATGCTAGTTGTACCCAGGAGAAACGTCACTTACCAGGGAAGACGGTCACACCTGATACACGCATGATATTCAGTGGCATATTCGAAGTGACATGCAGCCCACTGACCAGGCCAAACAGCGCCCAGGAACGGGCTGCTATCGTTCGCAGCCTTCAACCAGACATCAGCAGCTGTGCCGCGGTCAAAGGGTCCATAGCCTTCGCCAGGTAGATACGCCACCGCTGGGTCGGTCATCAGGACTGAAGGACCGGTCCGAGGTCAGTCATTCTATACTTGGGCTATGGATGACCCGCTCACCGTAGTGCTGGTCATGTGAATGCAAGTAGTCGACAATCTCCCGCATTCGGTCGAGGGGGAAGTAGTCTGAGTCCACTGTAAAGATACGACGTTTGTACATGTAGTCTATATTCGTTCGTCAGTGAACCGAGTCCATACAAGAGGTCAGCAGAAGACTGACCAATATCCGTCCACATAGTCTCAAGCGGAATGGACGCGGCGGAATAGTTGGTGATGACATTCGCAACGTCCACGAAGTCTGCAAAACTTCATTAAGCACCCCCCTTCCTCTATTTCGTCATACCGAACGTGCGCACTCTGATATCCGAACCGGCACTGATGTAACCCGAATGACCAGTACGGCACCTCAGCAGGCACGCCTACAATCTCAGCGTACTGCCTGGCCACCTCAATGGGATCGGTCTCGCTTCCCGCGAGGAAATAAAAGTCCAGCACTCCGCCGATGGTATTATATTCGAGCGTTGTCCCGGGCCCTTCGGTATCGTTGATCTTGATGTCCATTCCGTTGGAGTTTACCAAGAATACGCCGTGTGTGCCAGACGTCCTGTGTTCGAAGTAGATTGGATGGTTGCCATACAAGTTGGTTCCCGTAGGGACGCCATACGCATCTCGCGACCAGAGGGTGCGCGTATAATTGTGTGTCGGCAGACGGAAGGGGTCAGTATGCTCACCCAGACCGTAGATGTTCGCATTCGCCGGCAGGTCGGTCTTCACTCGCAGATACTGGGGCTCAAAAATGATCGGGTGAGCACCGGTGGAGAATAGGACCTCATGGGTCGACACGCGGTAAACAGAGAACGAAAACGGCGAAGTCGTGTAGTTGAATCTGATAGAGGCCTTGTCGGGCGACGTTTGGAGGTTCGCCTTGGGTCGAGGGAGGACGGACTCGGGCACCTCGTAACGAGCGTCCGAAGGATCTGTGATCTTTACATGTATGCGGTCATCTGTCACGATACTGTCAGCGCGCACTCAAGGACGAGACGCGCATGCTGACCAGTCTCGTAGGTGACCTCGAGCTTCAGGTTCTCAATGTCATTGCCAAAGACGTTGCAAGCCTTCCCGCCGAGAACGAGGTCCGCGGTCAGCGTGGGGCCTAAAGTGAACACATTTTTCGCCTTGTAGCCCGGACACGCGTCGAGTACGGCGGGATCAATGTCAGTGGCGCTGGCAAGAAGGATCAGCTGCACAACCGAAGCGAGCTTGAGCGCGGTACGGAGGTGCATGGCCGTGAAGGTACACGCTGGCACGGGGGAACATTGAGGGCGAAAGCCTCGTATATAACGGGTCCCGGGCGACCCTGACTGACGTCGGGAGTGGCGGCGCGTTTGTTGGCTTCTCTTCGTCGCGTTCTACGTCGCGGCAGGGCTCACTTGACCGAGGAAGTTGCCCATGTGATGCTGGTAAGCATGCCGCCTTCTGATGGCCCACGTATCCGCAATAGGTGCCTGCAGAATGATGATCATCACTGGCACGACTTACGCAAGGTTAACTAGTGAGAGACGGGCCCCTGATGTATGCATATCCCGGACACGTTAGCCCTTGGCCAGGCCAGCGAACCTTCGCCTTACTAGGATGGTGACAGGCGATTGTTGCAGCGATCCTGCTACTCCTAGCTCGCTCGCTTGGTATATAGCTTCTACATGAGGATAGCTTGCCAGGCTTGGCGGTGATTCAGCCTCGTTGCTTCGTGGCACGTTGGCACAGCTGAGGCCTCACAGTGTGCAAGTCAATACCGTATGGGACCGCCGTGGGTCGTGATCTCTTCATGGTATACTACATGACAGACCTGTGTGTGGTGCTATAGTGTAGTGGTTATCACTCGGGATTTTGATTCTCAACGCTTCCCGAAACCCAGGTTCGAACCCTGGTAGCACCTTTTTCGCCCACTCCTGGGCTAAAACATTACATTTACCTTTGTATACATCGGTTCAACGTCCAACGTTCAAGGCTCCAGTCGCTGCGGATCTGCTGTAGATATCAAGAGTATGACTCTGTTGTGGTATGATCCCGCAGCGGATGTGGATTGGGACAGTGGGAGAGGACAGCGATCAGACGCTGGTCATCCTTTCTGCCTGGACCATCCGCCGCCGTTCGAGAGACTTTGTCTCTTGGTCTCCGTGTCATACCAGGCCTCATATCTTCTCTGAGGCGAATAATGACGCCTTCTATGCAATTCTCAGTCGCATTCTAGCCCCGAAAACGGCACCGCAAAAAGTTTCCGGTCCCTGATCAGTACGCGGGCGTGCTGCGTCGCTGCGCCTTCTGGACCTCCTGAGCTTGATCTTTGTATCTGCTATCAGCGTTGTGTATTCTCCCAGCTGAAACCGTTTCAAGATCTGCTCCTTTGGGCTTGTAAGCGTTACGGTAGTAGTCACGGTTGAACAAAACTCAAGCAGCGCCGACTCTATGCAACTACAACACTTCCCGAGGCAAAAGGTGACTCTCTGGTATCCGCGATGCGTAGCGGTATCGGATGTCTCGTGGTGAGCTACTTATCCTCGTTCTTAGACACTCCGCATCGATCTTTTGTACTTCATCTGTTACATGTGTGGTAGGTCGCGCCGTATCCTTCTCGCTGCCTAGCTCCTGGGGCATCATGATAGTAAGTCACGTATTCGTTATCGCTGAGTCCATGCCTCCGAAGTCGACCGTGAGGCCAGTTTTCTTGTGTGACATCCACATGGCTAACAGAGAGAGCAATTAAGTGCCATGTCGCGTCACATTTCTCCACAGAGAGCTGAGCCTCGTTCCTGTTTGTCGCGCTTCATGACCGTGCGATCTCTTTATCACATTGGATCTCGACTGCCATTGACAGGTGACAAAGTGTGAGCATGCCGGCAGGCGGTCCTAGGACCTCATGCGGTCACAGATACCAGATAACAGGTTCATTCGAAAGGTCACTTTCTCCTCGTCTTCTTCTGTACTTCTCTGACCCTGCAAGCATCACCGTCCATGTGGTAGGAAGTTAACCTTACAAGCGTTCCTCCTTCTTCCTGCGCTCCCCAGTCTGACGACGTCCTCGATTCTCGACTGGGAGACACATTGTGTGTTCCATCACGAGACGACAGCGATGCTGCATAGAACCTTGTCCTATCCTCACGCGCTCGTGTCGCACGGATAAGACAATGGTTCACGCACTTGCATCCTTAGAGAGGGCCCGCCGAGAGTCATGGCTCAGAGAAGACAACTCAGCTGGCGACAGTCTCGATCGCGCGGAAAACACAGATCCTCCATCACCACGTTCGAAGACTCATCCTCTCGCAAGTGTCGCTCACCTGCAATGGGCAGACCATGCGGATGGAGAAGGACGGCTAGTTAGCCATCTATCTGTCGTCTGGCAGCGCATACGCTTTGCCCGGTGCAACTCACCTCATTGAGAAGGATACAGTCGAGTTCGGAGACGTACCTCTCTGCGCTGGCTCGGGATGTTTATTGAGCGATTGATTGTCCTACGATCGAGAGAGCTTGATGATCACCTTCTGGGGAAGGCGGGTCTGCATACCTGAAGAAGCGTTTTCAGATGGGGAAGCAGTGGACCTGGGTCTGCTTCCCTTGATGCTGCGTCTGGACAAGAGCACCGATAGATGGATAATTCGCGGCGTCACATTGATCATAGCTGTCCAGATGTACGAGCTAAGTCTGGACCAAGCGCAGAAGCCAGTAATGAGCCAAGGCGGCGATGGACCTCTCGCGACCTTCTTCACATCATCAGCTGACGTGCTTTTCTGAGATATACCCATCGACGCGACCACGGGAGAGCGAGAGCAAGTAGTGGTCCAAGAGCGCAGCGGCTCGGGGGATAGGAGAAGGACCACGCATGGTCTTCCCTGGGTCTTTGATATTCTATCCCGAAGAGGGGGACGTGATCGCGCTTTCGAAATGCGTATTACGAGCAATCATCACTCTGCACTGCATGCATGGCGAAGGCGGTCTAAGTTGCCCTTGTATTTCTAATTCTGTCGCGGGACCATCGCGGGCTTGCTGTCAATTGCGTCTACAGTGTCCTGCGTTCCGGTCATTGGCTCCTCCAGTCTTCGCTGTCGTCACGGGTAAACTATCCCGGTGGGCAGCGTAGGAGGCCGAACACGCCGCCTGCCCGAAGATACCGCATGCAGTGCTATAGGGGCACACGGCCACCGCTCTGATGGCGATGCACCGAATCCGGTGAATGCACCTTATACATCTCCCGTCAGCCAGTGTGGTTGGGTTTGACAGTTGGCCATGGGGACGAATAAGTTCATGTTCATGGTGAACAGCAGCTTTGAGGTGAAGCGGACGTGCACGGCTATCGGACCGCATGCCTTTGCGTGCGCAATGATGCGAAGCCTATTACTGCAACGCTCCGATTCACGCCACGATGCAGCGTGAGTGGCCGCGAAGCTCTCGTGATGCGAAACCTAGGATGATCGCGGAAAGGACGGACGTCCAACGCCTGTTAAACTGAGCCAGGCACGTTGATTGTTGGGATCGACGCGCGCCGCTTACATAGAAGTCTAACACACTCCTGGGCCTGACCGGTGGCCGCTGCACCCTGCTATGTGAAGACCGCAAGCATCGCCTTGTAGTTTGGCAGAACCAAGAGAATGGCATTTTAAATGTAAGCGAATAAAATGAGTCTACAGGGATATTAGTACTGGAGATTCCACGAGTCCAGCGGTCCGATTCAAATCATGTCCGGACGACGTACGCTACGGGGATTGGTAGATTGGAATGAACATGTGGGCTGTTGTGGGCCATCGTCCGCCTTGAACATGGAATTCTAGACTAGTTGGCTTGGCACACTCCTGGAAGGCCACAACCCAACGTTTGAATGACATTGCATCGGAACTGCGATGATGAATACTATGAGGTGCCGGTATATAAATAAGCAAGGTGCGTTAGTAATGATATAAAACTACGTCTATTCATGTATACGACAACTGGATCGGAGAAAAGTCGATAGCGTGCAAGAAGATGGAAACCGACAGCGGAAATTTCCAGATAAAAGAAGTCTAACGGGGTTAGTCGCCTCCGCAACCCGGGCAGAAGCCAGCGATCTGGGGCGCTGATAGAAAGGCGGAGAAATATCAGCACGTAGGGCAAAATGGAATGACTTGCCGCTCACAATACTGCTGCGGATGCTGACGGCTGTAATCAACGCACTAGCGGTGAGCCAGCAGAAAGGTCTGAAACACGGGGTTGACTCACTACTGCTTGCAAGTCTGCTTGCAAGCGACGCCTTGGCAATTCTTTGCATGCATTGGGCTGAATTTACAGCGCGGATTATCGCATTTGACCTGAAAAAGGGTCCATGGATGAGGTTCAACAGGCGCAGGCAGGATAGCCGTGTTCACCTACCTCTTGGTCCGGCTGTAGCAGTTTGGTGAGCGACCGCCGAGGCTGAGCATGAAGAATACATACCATAGGATAGACATGGCCGCATCTCTCGTAAACATAGCAAACTCTAGAGGCTTGTCAATATGGCGTAGACTGCGTAAGCATGATCGACATACTGGCGAAGGTAGCACATTCTTCGACGGCGAGGTATTTGTCAGGTGTGAAGTCTATAGTCCGCGTCGGGTTTGAAGACTGAGGGTGTGCGATGACCAGAAAGTCCGTGGACGAACTGTCTCTTATACACACATAAGTACGATGCCACCTCAGCAGCAACAGTGTATCTCCGGATGCATCGAGTGCTGAGAAGGTGAGAAGATGCTTAGAAGTCGTTGCCGCGGAGGGGAGGGGGGTTCACAGGCACGCAAACATACGGTAAAAGAATCAAAAATCAATGAAGTCATTGCGCTGGCGCAATTTTCCGGTCTTAAATAGGGGCAGGATGGATGAGCGCACTCGTTCACGGAAGCACATGAGTAGTCAAGGGGTTAGCACCTTGTATGCTCGTAAGACCGAACTTGAACATCACTGGAGTCCGCTCGAGCGCGCAAGCAGGTTTCATATCTAGATGCATCAGGTGCACATCGTAAGCTCCGCTGACAGTCATACGAAACCGCTCATCCTCTCCGATGCGCCGACGGCGGAGCATGAGTCTTCGAGACGTCAGTGGGAGGTAGCCTAGATGGTGAGAAGAGCAAATAGACGACTACTAGCCGCTTGAACCATCACGAGCTTCGAGCGGTGGATTGTGGCTGAGCAAAGCATGGTGAGTTACGGCGTGATAAGTCCAGCCGGATTCCAAGCCGCTGCTGGGCCAAATCAAGAGAAGGAGCACTGTAAGCGTCGGATGAGCCCCTCCGCGGTGGATGCTTGCCCGAAAGAGGAGGCGTGCCACGTGGGCCAAAAAGCTGTGCAGCCGCCCATAGGACAACCATAGGAGTCTCCGGTCCTGTGTGCAGCACCGCAGCGCGACCGAGGCCGCCGTCTCGGACTTCGAGTAGAACGCTATCCCTCAAAGGAACTCACATCCTGATCGCCGGGCCAAGTCAAGCCAGGTTTATGGGCAACAATAACAAGACAAAAATATTTGTCGAGAGCAAGGTGGGTATCATCCTGTACATGCGGCGCTGCTCTGATGGACGCGTAACATGTGGCCTCTCGACTACAGGATGCTGCGATAGACCTTGCAAAGAGCGTGGCCCATGCCGAGGAACAGAAATTCCGGGCGAAAGTGCAGGCACATCAGTCCAAGGTCAGCATGCCATCCTTACCGGGCCTAAGATGAGCGGTCCACTGCGACAGACTTCTGCATGTCTTACGTGTTCGATAGGCTTCCGCCCAAGAGATCTCTTCTGAACAGAAGCACAAGGTTACATCGAAGGCGAGACTAGTAGGCAATTAGTACTTTTCCTAGGAGAATTTCGATGACGACCTGGAGCACAGGAACGCGCGAAAGCTGCTGTGGCAGCGCAAGCTGCTCGAGCAAAACGAGATAAGGCGAAG